TAATATGGAGTCGCACATTTTCAGGATTTTTAGGACAAGAAAATTCTGGTAAGTTAGGGTTTTAAAAATGGTAGAATTCGTGGATAAAAATTGTTATAGTATGACTAAACATGATTATGATGAGGTTTATAAATGACCAAATAATAGACTATAATGGGATAGGGATCTGAGAGGTTAGCGGCACATACCCGGCAAAAATTGATCTAAGTACTCCCCCCCCTGCAAAAACGACCATTGAAAACCTTACAACAACGTTAAATTTGTCAACGAGGTAACGACTTTTTTTAAGAAGAGACGAAGTTTACCGGGAAGATATTTTTCCTAGGCAATTTGCGTGGTGCGTGGTTCTGTCGCATTCTTTTTACGATGTACAACTATTTGATATATATTCCTCGTTTTCAGCATTCTTATTGTTTGACCTTTCGCGCCGGCTTTTTCGCACAGATCCTCCTTGTTTAAAAAACACGAAACATTTTCGTAGAGGATGTATGCTGGCATGAAAACAGACATTTGACTCCACTGAAAACAAGAATTTTTCAAGTTTCGGATTCTTCTTTTTTCTCTTAATCAAGACTACTTCAGGTTCATCAAGCGTAAAACCAGATGGCGTGTACTTTGAAAGTGTCTTCCTTTTCTGAATAATTATGATTTGTTTTTAAAGTGATGACAGGGTTTTAAAAGATGCACACTTCCTATGGAATAAATTTTTTTCATATTCGATAGAAGATACTCTAAAAACTCCAGAAACTTTAAATTCATACAATTTTTAAGACTAGACATACGTTGAATAGAGCACGGTAGTGCGGTAGCGTTTTTATTTCCCAGCCAACTTTTAATTTGTGGCATGTAACTGGTCAGCAACATACACTTCTGTTAATTAGGATCCGGCGCAGTCCTTGCCCGGAGGAGAGGGGGGAGAGTCCGAGGAACTTGATGGTGTCACGATGAAATTTACAAAATCAAATCGTGACACAATCAAAATCCTCCACCTTGGAGGGATCAGGTGACCTGATTCCTCCATAAGGCTCTGAAATATTCTTAAGATCCCACTCATTTGAAGTTAATTGGCAGTCAGTTTTCTAAAGTCTCCTCCCTTATACTCTGTTGACGACGACTGACTCCCCTCCGTTCCCCCTGAAAACCCTCTGACCCCCCCCCCCACGCCCCTGGCGTTAAATAATAACTGGTCTCAAAGGGGCTAATTTTTTTTTCCTTCTGTATAATCTCATTTTATTAAACCCTCGTCAGTTTTATGGAAGAGCGTACACATACGATTTTTTTTTGCGTTTTCAGTGATCGTCGAAAAATCAAATAATTTTTATGTTTTACTTCTTCCACGCTTAGAACGTTGGCGATTGCAGCTGGCGTGTACCTAGGCACGTGCTAACAAAAGTTGTTGAAATGTAATTTACATCTGTAGCTTAATATTGAAACCTCGCTGACTCCTTACTCTGATTTCTCCTGAAGTTTGCGTAATGGACTTCTTCCAGTTTAATAATTTCAAATGATTTCTAAATTGTTATTTGTGGTTTTTGAAGAAGCGCTTCTTTCTAGCTCAAATTGCTTCTTTGATATCGCGTGAGTTCTGACTCGATGTTATTTAAAACACGAAGAGGCGATCACGCACATATTGCATATAGGTGGGGTTTGATAATGAATTGATTTCACCCATCGTGGATAATCAAATTATGATCAATCTCCCAGATCTCAGCGGAAAATAAACCGCAGAGGTCTTCCTGCGGCTGGTGCTGACACACAGATACGAGCTTGCGTCTTGTTTGATCACAAGTATACTATGCATAGTTACACGGGAACATAAATACGCTTTAGGGACCATGCCAGTATCATCTGTGGTGGGGAAAGGGGAGAGTGAGGGTCGGAGTTTTGTCACAAAATAATTCACTTGATCTCCCACAAGCCTTAGCAGAATTCTTATGATTCTTCCTCATTGGCAGTCGGTTGTATATAGTCCCCACTTTAAAACTCTGTTTGTAACGACCCATCTCCTATCTTTTCCCATTGAAAATCATACGATCTCGACAAAATTCCACGGGCCCTCGAGCTCAGGTGGTGACCAATGATTCGTCCGGCTTATGCCACAAATTGTTCTGTGAATTCCGCATCTAAAACCATTGTTTTAAACCTTAAACTCCCAGACGTGATTAACATGGAAATCCTCCCTATAATATCCTTACATTATTTAGCAAACAGGTAAAGAGAATAGTCAAACTTATCAGGTTGAAGTTGATGTCTTGATCTAACACCAAATTCCCATAATTCATTTACAAGGAATATTATTGTGTACCAGCTAGAGGGGCGGAATTAGCAATCAGATCCTAGGAATTAAGGATTAAGATACCAATTTTCTATATGTAATTCAATGATTCAATGCATTTTCATCGCCTCCCTGAGAGTAGAGACAGAGGACACTGATCTATTCAGTTCTATTTCCAGATGCGCCGCCAAATGCCTAGAGCACGTATTGCCAACTGTATTTACATCCTTCCCAAAGATCTGGATAGCAGCAAATATGTCACGAGTTTAAGAAAATATACGACATTTTTTAAAAACATGTTTCGTCAGTTCTTCTTCCATCTCCAGTTCTAGTTTATATAAAGTACAAAGTAAGGCGGACTGTTTTAGCGGTCCATAACTGTTTTTAACGGTAAGGAGACGAGAATGTGTTCCAGAGGGTAAGAAGTGTTTATGCATAGCCCGTTTGCAAAGAGGAGCTTGTCTGATCGCATGCGTTGTATTTCCCATAACAAAGATCCCAAAGAATTGCGAATAATCCCTTTTTTCTCAAAAAAGAATGTCATAGTAAACAAGAGGAACATTTTACCATAGAAGGAGCTTTCTAAATTTACCTTGAGCTGTTTGTGGACTTCTCTCTGATTTTTAAATTGGCTGGTAAAGATTTTTCTCTCTTACTACCTTCAAAATAACATTTACCCATTTCCATCTGTCTATCTAATTATTGTTTTTCAAAGGCTTAACTTTTCCAATTACAATCTAATCCATCTCCCTAATGGACCTGTCGTTATCCCGGATGCCCTGAGTACTGTCAAAAGGCTTTTGACAAATTATGTGTCACTTGCTATATCTTTTAATCGCCCTCGTTGCGATATTTAAAGAATACTCATTTAGGCATCAATACAACAGATCCAGATTTTCTTGTATAGCCACACCTGAGACGGACAAATTTAATCCATAATGAAAGATGATTCATAAATGATAAATTAAAAATAGGGTTAATAAAAATTCATGTGTTTCCGCTGTTAGCAAGTACTAAATGCAATTAGGAAAAAGGGCTTTAATAGGGAGCGATTGCCTCAGTGTTATTATAAACGGAAATTCACATTGACCTCGTGGGATTAAATTTCTGAGACTTTCAGCTTTAGTTATTTCAAGGGTAATTCTTTATGCACGGGATCCTTCGAACGAAGTAAACTTTTTTAATCTCATTTTTATTATTTATATCAAAAGATTATGTTGTTTACTTCAAGAAGGCTCATAAACGTAAAGCAGAGCTCTTGCCACCGTAACTAATTGAATATATTTGTCATGGAAAATTTTTTTTTTCTTTTTTATCAGAACACACTAACTATAGAAAGAATTCTAGGAAATTGGTGGTGTGCACGAAGCCATGAGGCCATTTCGAACGATTTTCGTGCGGAATGATCCAGTTTCCCCAAAATCACTCACTAGTGTCGCAAATCAGACACTTGTGTCCAAAATCAGACAATAATGTCCAGACCCGGACACTACTGAGTGTCTAAAATCTAGCACTAGTGTCCAAAATCAGACACCAGTAAGTCACTAGTTCCCAAAGGCTTACACCAATGTTTTCCCATGTGGAACAAAGTGAAGGTTTGTTATGCCGCGGTCTGTAACTCCACCCCATTCTCGGTTTGTCCTCAAATTCTTCGCGACTGATCCTTTCGTTTAGCGCTCGTTTCTCTATAATATTTTCGACTTTTCTTAAAACAGTATCGTTGAGGACCTCAAATTTGAGCTTGTGTTCGTGTATAAGCCGTTTCACAAGGTCAATCAAAGAAAGTGGGACGACGACTACAAAAGCAAAAGAAGGTGGGAAACAGAAAATCTAGGACATTCGCAGTTTGCACATTTTGGTGGGAAAATAATATATGCATTTTTTAACTTTTGAATAACTTTAAAACTTATCATTAGGTTAAAATTAGGGAATGGTTCTTAAAAATATGGCTTCTATATGCGAAAATGAATTCGTTTGTGGAAAAAGGGAAAGAAATTTTGAAAGATCCCGTGGCGCGCAAATCAGACACTAGTATTTAAATTCAGACAATAGCATAAAAAAATTAGACACTAGTGTCTACAAACGGATTGGCATGACCTCTGAAGTAAAAAAAACGATGCATGACTTGAAGGATATTAGTATACCTGTCACTTGAAAAGTATGACTCGCGACTTAAAAGGCACGACCTGTGAGTAAAGGATTCAACAAAACAGATCTAAAAAATTTCAATTCAAATTTCCCTCATAGATACCTTACTGACGATAGTGCAAAAAGTCTTCACGAACAGAAGATCTTAGAAGGCTTAAAGAAATGTAAAATAATTTTGAATGGTAAAACAATGGTTTTGTATCATTTTTTTTTCTCAGACGGGATATCCCAAATTGTAAAGATCCCTAGGGAGCCCGCGTTTGTTGATACTGAAACAATAAACAAAATATCCTTTCGATGAAAAGAATCTTTTACTTTTTCGACACCTATGTATGCAATGCTAATTAAACGCCGACAGAAAAGCGCCTTTAAGAAACCAGAACAAAAGAAATAATTTTTGCTGGCAGGTAACCAAAGAGTCCTTTTCATATTTAAGCATTATTTACCTAAAAAACCCCACGAAAGCCAATTAAATTTTACTTTTACTTGTTTTGATTGAAACCAATAGTCTAATGCAGTATGTTAAACAGCCAATCACAGGCTAGGTGTTATCAACAAGGAAACAAAGCTTGTAGATTTACTGTTTAAAAAAAGTGTTACATTCTATTCAAGAAACTTAATAACGTGGAACTCGGCCAACAAGGAAAATCCTTGACGAGAAGATCTGTCGAGCGAAAGAACTATACCATGGAGCTTTTGATAACTTTCTTGTACGCTTCCCTGAGCATTATCATTACTTTCGCCAATCTGCTTGTGATCCTCTCCGTTTATTCGACGCGCGCTCTGCGAAAGGTCACCAATTATTCTCTGGTTTCGTTGGCGTTCGCTGATCTTGCTGTTGGTGTGGTTGTTCTACCTGTAAGGATACACGAAGCACAAGACCCTCACAAGTCGCAAGATTTTAGTTGGTGCCAATTTTCACTGAGTCTAACATTGCTCAGTTTGTCTGCTTCTGTGTTGAATCTTTTAATTGTTACTGTGGAGCGTTACTTTGCTATAATTCTGCCTCTTACTTACTCTACTAAATTTACCGCTCGACGAATTTTTTTCGCAATAATCCTCGTCTGGTTTATTGCAATCTTAGCTTCGTTCTTGCCGTTCGTTACTTTGGGGAACATGGCAGCTCGAGAGCGCAGCCGAGAGCACAAGGTCTGTCGATTTGCAGATACAATGAGCCCGGAATATTTGACAGCTTTTTCAGCTGCCATCGTTTTAATTCCAACTTTGTTTATCACAGCCGCCTATTTGAAAATTTACCAGGCAGCGGTCAAGCTGGGAAGAAGACTGAAAGCATTACGTGTGCAGCGGGATCCAGATCGTAATATTGCGAAGGTGTTAAAGGAATCTAAAGCCGCTAGAACAGTTGGTAAGTGACTCTTTTAAAAAAACTCTTAAACGGCAGAATTTGATTTACTCGAAATCAAAACTACCTTAGTCCAAGAGCTGTTTGATCTCGAAATTAATGCTTTCAGTTTAGGTTTGCTGCATCACATTTAACTTTACAAGAATTGATTAAGCTAAATTTTAAAACAGGTTGTATTAAATTCACGCACGCCCACATCTTGCGTCAAAACTGGTTTTAAGAGCACGACGTCTGGGGAAATGTTGCCTAATTAATTTCAAGTTTGCTTTTAGTTTATGCATACATTTATCAAAGCAATTTTTCCGGGATTCAATATTAAACGAATCTACGCTGTACATCTATGTTTAATTCACTCAGTACCGATCGATCTGTGTTTTGGTGCGTTTGGTTTTACGTTGGAGAAGGAAAAAAAAAGAGGATAGAAATGAATAAAATTGTATGAGACTAGGCGATTTATGTGGGGGTTTGCAGATTTCCCGCACATTTGAATCTTGTGTATTTCCGGGACTCATGGTGACCTCCAATGACTTGAGGAAACCACGTCCAATCAAGAACTTTCCACATTTTGATTTGTTTGAATGTAATCGGTGGAAGATTAAAAACTCTTAAGGACATTAAAAAGAAATTTGAAAAATTCTTGCATTTCTTTTTTCAAATTCGTTTTGTTTTGTCTTTAAGCATTGAAATCTCTTACAGCGCTACGTCTCGACAAAGCTTACAACAAATTAAGAATCTCATTTTGATGTTCTGTTCAAAATAATATTAAAGCTCTCAAAACTGTTCTCCGCCCATCAGATGATAAAATAACTTGTCAAATTCTCTCGCAGCTTGTCTTTACGAAGTCTCGAATAGAATACATCTATTAGGTCGTAGAAATATGGATATATAGTAACCCCAGGGTACAGATCAGCATATCTAACCTTATCGAAAATCCTGTAAAAGCAATAGTTTGTTTGATATCTTGTCTCCTAGAAAAGGAGATAAACGTTTAACCAAAACATCATCGGTGGAGGAGAGGGGTTGGGGCTAAATCACTATGAAAAAAAAATACTAGTATAAATGCTGTTTTGTTTTACCATGTATTTAAATTTCTAGCACTCACGTCTTAGTAGATATATTATTTTAATTTTTGCTTTGAAGAATTTAATGGAATAAATTTTGCCATCAATTTGCAACATCGGGTTACCTGCATGGAAACCTTTATTCTTTCCATTAGCCATGGACATTTAGCCACAATGGAGCCCGTCCATAACTTTATCCACGATATTTACCATGAAACGTCTGCCTTTGTGCCAGTTAGAAATTTGCAAGCGACAGGGTCAGTATGGGACCAGTCATAATCATCGCAGGGGGAGGGGGAGGGGAGATCGGATGATTTTGGTTATGTCATGATGAAATTTACCTGATCCCCTGTAAGGCTCTGTAATATTCATATGCCGCGCCTGATCAGCAGTCAATTTTCTATTATCATCTGCCCTTCCCTTGGTACTCTGTTGACGATGACTGATCCCCCCCGTCCCCCCAGATCCTCCGATGGTTAATGATTGGTCCCTAAATTTAAGGGGTTTCGTCAAGTTCTCCCGTTGTATCCACATAAGATAATTCTCAATTTCTTATTCTCTTCAATTTTTTTTATTGTCTTTTTTTTTTGTCAGGAATTGTGGTCGGAGTATTTTATCTGTGCTGGATTCCTTTTATGGTGGCAGTCATTTTGAGCGCATTCGTCGAAAATTTGATCACCCCAGTTGTAGTTCTGGTCATTTCTGTTCTTATCTATAGCAATTCCGCCATCAACCCAGTCCTCTATGGTTATCTGAATCGCGACTTCCGGTTGGCTTACAAAAGGATGTTTTCGAAAGTTTCCTTACCAAAAGCATGCGCAAGAGTCCGTCCTCGCGAAAGAAATAGATGCTATGAGTTACCGGAGTTATCCACGAGTTCTCAGCAAACTCAAGGGATGTATATCAGTGACAGTGCCTTGTGATTGCTTAGCGATTGCGTACCTGCCGCCATTTTGAAATCCGAAAAGACCCTGGAACGAGGTTGCGTAGTTCACTGGGGAACATTCTTTAACCTGCTAAGGCGCTTTGTGACATGTCTCGAGTTTCTAAGAAACTACTCCGTAAGTTTTGTCTTTATGATTTTTCGGTAGTCCATAAGGATTGCCACTTGAAATGAGAACGAACGAAAAACATAAACTATCTACACACGAGAAACACGCACGGCAATTTCGCAGCGTTTCGAGTTTTCTCTAAGGGAATTTTACTTTCACCCAGTATCCCGTCCCGTCGCTAAATGAAATGAGGGAAGCGTTTATAATTTAAACAGGACCCAACTTTACGGCGAGTTTTGTAGGTAATGCAGTGTAAACTCAATCCGGGTAGAGAATAGCCACTACGACGTCTACATTATTTTCTCTATGACTACTATATCGACTACTTTCGACCACAACTCCGACCACCACAAATCGCTATTAACAAAAAGCTACGCGCTCCTATCCTCAATTGGTTGTTTTGACATTACACCTGTGCTGTGTGCGATATTGTGGTCATGGTATTCATACGCGTATTACCATGTCAGTAAATACTCTGAAGCACTTAAGGTTTCAATTAGTGATTACCTTCAAATTTGAAATACAATCACAGATGTGAACCTTACGCTGAAAAAAATGGCCTTAAGTCTAATGGAGATAAAAGACTTTAAATAATGATAATTATAGAGAACATTCTCGCTTTCGAGAACCGATCAAGAAGAACCATAATTGACTATATGTTATTATGAATTACATAACACGACATTAAATTCACTTATACCTGATAAAAAAACGGTAGTCAGGGCGTCAAGATTTGAAGATTAAGTTCAACAGGTAGGCGAATACCAACTGACCTTCATCACATGGCAATCATAACGTCATTATTCGGGTCCAGGCTGCGCACGGTTATTAGCCACTTGTTGATGATTTGGTGGGTTTTGCCACCCGTTGATACGGGTGACTACAGAACTCCGAAAACACAACTCCAAAAAAATGCAACAAGAAGCGCGCTTGCTGACTGAAAATCGAGAAGACACGGTATGCAAAGGGTATTAGCGCCTCGATGGGACATTTTAAAGTCTATTACAGCTTACCTGGCTTATTTCAGCATTCAGCACAAGGGTTCTTAGAGTCCGTTAAAGATAAGGTAAGACTGTTAATGTCTAATGTCGCGCTTCATCAAACGCTCATCTAACTTTCTGGGTTATCATAAAATCACACGTTCACTCTATGGTTAGAGTGCTGGAACAGTGATTTTATTTTTCTTCTCTCTAGTGTGAACGATAAGTTTCCGCTCAAAAGGGCGATCCTTCTATTCTATGGTAAATATGTTCACTGTCATGTTATCTGTTGACCATATTCAGTGATGGAATATATATATTTACATAAATTGTCGAGGTTGCTTTGTAAAATTGCATTTCAGTTCGGCTCGGATAGTGGGTTTCGTTAAAGGTAATGCCCATAGTTGAGAAAATCCTGAAACATGTGAGCCAAAAGTTAAAAAAATTTTATTGACTAAAACAACATGTATTTAATTGTTCTTTTTGACATTTGCGGATATATAAATATCTTGTTTGTTCCAAACTGTTGACTTAAAGGGCAGTCGTCATGTGTTAATAAGATCTGTCTGACTGTGTCTTTGTTGTCAGCTGCTTTGGTTTTTCAATTTATTTTCGGGGTACAACAAAACTTGTGGCAAGTTCAACTCACTGCGAGAGTTGACGCCATAAAGTGCGCAGTTCGTCTTCATATTTTGCACTTGGGCGGCGTAGTGATGCATTTAATGATACAATTTTGTATCAAGATTCACATTTTTTTGTAATTTAGGAAAAAAATCAACAAAGATTTTATTTTCCTTGCGAAATCAATGTGAATGCAACTCGAGCAAATTTTCCATTTTCTTACCCCTAGTAGGAGACGTTAATTTCCCACACACGAGATTACTGTGTCATGGATGTCCTCCCCTGGGGTGGGATGGGATGGGTGGGAAGGTGAACTAGCTCGAATGGTTCGTATGTTTCCTTGTAGTCCTTCCCCACTCGGCTACAAATCAATGCAGTGAAAATGGAATAAACTGAAATATTTAAAAAATTAATAATTTCCTGTTATTGATCAGTTTTCCCTCGTTACTCCGATTAATTAACATTAGAAGACTACTCGCAATTCTTAACTATTGGCTCAGTTGCAAACTGAATTATGTCTTCGGTTTGCACTAGATAGCATCTGTTACAGATTTGCTCAACTGTGGTCATTTGAGCAAATAAACTGAGTGTCTAAACTTATTGTCACATTGAAATAGCTGATCATTCACTTAGACAGTTAGTTAGGCATCTCGTTCATGACATTCACGCTTCCGAGTACAATTCTCACAACATGAACAGTTTTTTAAACTTTAATTTTATTTTCCATATCATTCATTCAGTTTGGTCGTAACGGACAAATCAATTCAAGTTTTGATACTTGATGGAGAGTTCGTGTGGCGGTCACCTTTTTTTTTGGGGGGGGGAGGGGGGGGGCGGAGACATCAAATGACATTGATCATTTGTTGGTAGTCGTAAAAGGTACTTTGTGCGCTTTGAGTTTTTGCATGTTTTTCTTGGCCAATTTGGAGACGTAGAGATATCTGCAGGAGAAGAATTGTCAGCTGACATGATGAAAAGACAGAAATCAGCGACATTGATCTAAAAGGAGGTTAAAATCGTCCTGAACGCGGTTGCAAGATAAAAAATTCGTTAAGTATTAGGGTTAGTACAATGACTGGCTCAGAACCAAAAACGCGTTTTGGTTTTGCGTTCAGCGCTAATGCTGCGACTAATAATTTCACTCTTCGATTGACAAGTCATGAGGGGTGTTACCATGAGGTTTAAATCGAAAAGAGACAAAAAAAAAAAATGATGAGAAAAACTGCGAGAAAGAGAAAAATTACGGAGCAGATTGGTGGCTCCGAACGCATCCCAAAATCGCAAAAAATGTTATACTCTTATGTTCGCTGGTGGTAGGATTATGGCTGTTATACATCGAATGCAAATATGGCGTCCAATTTGAATGGCCATTGTTCTGGACTCACTAGTCTCGTCTGCACGTGGAAATACAAAAGGATTATTACATGTGTGAGAGGCTAGTCAGTCCCGAACAATGGCAACTCAAATTCGACGCCATATTTGCGTTCGGTGTATAGCACCTCACCCAATTTACCAAAGACCAGGTGTGACACCTTTTTCCTCGTGATTTCGACCCAATTTGTCAGGAATACATAAAAGTGTACAAATAGTTTCAAATTAATATTAGACTGTTCACGCCAACATTCTTACTAACATTATTCGCCCATGATGAAGAGTGTATGTATCAGACCCAATGTTTTCGGCTTTTTAACTGTTTAGTTTGCCCCACCCCATTTTACAAAACCGAAATTTTACTGAGTTAACAGCAAAAACAGAAAACCGTACTGTCATTTGATTAACATTTATATTCTAACCGGCAAAATAGGATATTCAAGAAAAATTCTGACCTAGAATTGTAACCTAAATTCAATTCGACCTTCGTTATGGTGTAGTCGGTATACACATATTATTTTGAAAAAGCTTTTGGTCCGATGCAGATTTTTTGTTTTATTTAAAAATTTCGCTGACCTGAGAAAATCTCCTAATTTAGCTGGTACGCACGGTGGGTAGTATACTTGGGGCAGTGGTCATGCACGGAAAATTAGATTAAGAGTTTGAGAGCTGTAAATTATTGCTCATGACATCTGATGACAAATATTATACAACTGAAGCAAAGCTCGGCTTTCTCTGTGTTTAACTTTAGCCTCTAAAATATCAAAATAACTGACATTTTTGTCAAGACAATTTTTGCGCTACCAGTCGATCTAAGAAAAGCCGTTTGCCGGACTTGTTTTTGTCTTCCCGCCAATTTCATGTTGGCTGCATGATTTTTCAACCAATCACAGAGAGTTTCAGCACACCTGCTACATGCGATCGTAACGGGACGTCTTCATATTTGAGTTTATAATTTCAACTTTTTTACTGAGCTTATTTTGGTCAGAAAATTAAAATCAACCTTTGAATAGGAAAATGAATCGCGCAACTAGACAAGTTGCACGTTGATACGAAACATTGTTCAGATTTAAATCTACTTCATAAACACTTACACGCTAGACAGTGACTTTGATTTGAAGCTTGAGTATTTTAACAAGCTATATTTAAAATTGACGTGACCACATCTTTACTTCATCATTGGGTCCGGGTGTGTTACGCCATCGTTCCCTCCTAAACAAGCTTATTTCAACTAAAAGAGTTGTTCAAGTTGTTGTTAGGCGCTCGCTATCTCGTTAAGCTAGTTTCAACTCGTTTCTCACGACAAGAAGAGCGAAAGGACGATTGAAATCACTTGCGCGCTAAGCCTATGAAGGTATTTCCACTTCTCAACAGAAAGCCAACGTTATTTAACCAATAGCTTATTCATGTGCGCATTTTACAGTCGTTGATGATTTCTTAGTTTGGGTGGAGTTTATAAACTTAACTAGGTTAATCAATCAATACTTCAGGAAGCTGTCATATTTATTCTCAGCTTATTTAAGGACTACCGTTAGGATATCTGTTTTCTTAATTCTCCGGAAATCCCCTCACATGTATTTACTTGGGTTTCTACGTGAGGCCATGTACCGCGTTGTGAAAGCTCGCTATCTCGAAATTTCCTCGAGTAAAGCGAAAAATAGAACGGTCTAAAAATATGTTGATTGTGGAAACAAGGCTATAATCTATGAATTTAATTTCAGATGAACTTTATGTTAGCTGACATCGTTGACGTTCTAAGATACGTACGTGTAACAAGGTTCTTATGAATTCTTCTAAAGAGCATGAAAGTAAACGAATAGTCTAGATTCATAGGGTGAGCTGATGCTTCTCATTTTTGTATTGTAATTTGAATAAGAACTGCTTGAACTTATACAATAGAGAATGTTCTGTCGCATTCGTACTATAATTTCATTAACAGAAGTTAAGGAGCACTGAACTTAAGCACTACATAGAGATTGAGTATCTTGTTAAATATTCAATATAACAGACTTCAATTCAATTTGTCCACCGAAATATCCGTTTATTGCGTTTATGCTAACAATTAGTTTAATTTCGTGCTCTTGATCCAATTTTTTTTTCATTATTTGGCTTGTTATCCGTAAAAATAATCCGTAGGAGGGCAACAGGTCATTCCTGAAGCGCTTCAGTGCTTCAAAAAATTCAGTTCATGTTTGAAATTTCTTAATAGCGGGACTGACTTTTTCGGTTTAAAAGGGGAAGCTTCCTTTCCATGCATCCAAAATCAGAGCTTTGTTTCAAAAACGGAATCACAACCTGTCAATTCCAACAGAAGCAATCTTAAAGTGATGCGGTACTTATTTCACAAACGTTCTTTCCAATATTTTTATCAGTACATCATGTTTATGCATGTTTATTCAATCAATTTTTAATTAATAAGTGACCAGCGACAAATTTCTAGGCGGCGGGAAAAATTCCCGCCAAACAAGAACGCAGTGACGGGTAAATAGAAGAAAAATTTCCCTTGGAAATTTCGATTGGAACAGTTATAATGGTTTAGTTCCGCAGTACTTCGTAAAAATTTCCTCATCGACAGCGTGTTTTATTCGCATTTTAATTTAGTTGAACCATAAAGTTCTTCCTATATGCACAAGAGCACCACAGTTTAACAACTAAATCAAAAACTCGATTTCAAGTTACAAACCTGTATAATTGAAACCTGATTAAAACTTCAGTTTAGAATATTTTAAGGAAATTCCGTAACGAAACTTCAAATGGTAATACTCTGACCATTAACAATAAAATAAAGTCGATTTTTACAGTCTATCAACCTATCAGTTTTGAGAAAAATTGCCTTACATTGGTTGCAGTGGGTTACGAAAGTTCTGTTCTATTCTGTAGAGACTGAAATCTTGTCGAATCAAATATGTCTTAAAATTGTATACAATCGTGATCATTGCAATATTATCATTACTAGTGTGATCGATCCTGCCTTTGTGTGGTGGTGAGAATTCATGATCAGATTCTTCCGTTCTTGGCCATCGGGAAAGGGCAAAATCAGAGAGAACTTACTGTTATAAGACACTTGTAACAATATCTTTGAACATTTAAAAATGTTCAGAGATATTGTAACAAGTGCGCTTAAAAGTACCAAACCGTTGTCCTTGCTATTACAATTTCCGAAAAACTAGTATTGATCGTGGTATTGCAAGAAAGAATTAAATCTGTAGCGTTTGTTTTCAACTACCTTCAGGTTTGGAGGGATTGGGTTTTGACAAGACCTGAACTGAATGCGATCAAATGCCATTTTAGATCACCTCATTTCTAATTAAGATAATACTTCGCTTACTGCGAGACTTGGTTAATATTCTGAGGACTCTTGTCACTTTTGAATATTGGGTAAGCAGTTCATTCAAATTTGAATATTAAACAATTGACGCCGTATTCACAACGTATGAGTGTCTCAAGTTTGGTCCACCTGACATGTTATTGCTTAATCGACTCCTTTCCTCAGGGTTTCGGGTCGCTTAGTGGTCTGGAATGCCGGTGAAGTCGATTTTCAAGCTTAGTCAAGAAGAACCTACAGTAGAGCAAGGCTTTGACGTTGTAAGCGGGTTAGTATTCTGAAATGAAACCACAAAAGGGGGAAAAGTGTGAAACCACCAAAGTTGGAAGAGGTGAGTGAAAGAAGTAATTGTAATATGTTAAAGCAAAACTTAAAATTCACCTGATGATTTGAGCTGGCAGCTATGCACATGTTTAAGATAAGTCGTTTGGAGGCTGTATTTTCTTTGATGAATTTTTGACAATATATCATTTTATTAACAACGAAAGCATGTTGATAATCACTCTTCGTTGGGATTTTTAGTCATTACTTAATAAAAACGCTGATTTAGGCGGCGTTCAGTTCCCAGTTCAGCACAAAACTGAGCGTTATTCTGGTTTGATTTCGATAAAAAAGTTAAAGTTAAAGAAGAGGAAAATGTTGATTTAAAAAAAATTATTTCAACGCGGAACTTTATTATGTAAAGTACAAAAATTCTCATGTAATTTGTCGTGTTGATTACGTCACAATGATTAATTTGAGCCATGTCAGTCTAATTTTTTCAGTGAAGTAATAATCGTTTACAGCTATGAATCATATGTAAGATATATACTTAAAAAATGCTTATATTGTTCCTATAGTTTTGAGTGACATTGCAAGTTTTCTTTTCTGCGTTAGATTCGGGAAGGGTGAAAGTCTTCGTGCGAGTGCGTCCTCCACGACCGAATGAAAACAATCGGAAAGAACAGATAGCTGTCAATGTGGAAGAACTCTCTTCGAAGGTGAGGGTAAAATGCCACTTTTTTCTTATGTACAGGTGAATATTTGAAATTGGTATCGCTCTCAATTTGTGATTGAGTTGCACACGCGTGTTATCCTCGAGTGGAGAGAGTGGCCAACCCGCGAGAACACGCGTGATCCTCCGAGGTCGACGAAATCAAGTCATTAGAAAACCACGTTTATTTCTCTAACTCGTTCGAATCCGAATCAGACAGCATAACAATCGTAAAATCATATTTAAAACAAAAATCTTGAGTTAATTAGATATTTTCGGATAATCAACCAAAGCATGTTTTGGCTAAAAATCCCCACAAAATCAGAATGAAGAGCATAACTTCATCATGCGTGTCGCAAAATGCTAAATTGGGACCAGAAGCTTGTCGTGTATACGCGACAATGACATGGATGGATTCACAACAAAAAATTTTCAGTCAAAAACAAATCGCGAGACAAAAAAAACCAGTGGAGGAGATCTGGAGATGATGTTCGGCATGTGTATGGCGAGACATTTGGTCAGCGGGTAATTATTTGACGAGGCATTTGTGTCGTACCATCGCGTTCGAGGTAGTCTTTGTGATTATACAATCTTCTGTCAGTGGAAGTGGCTCTACGATCACACCATGAACGGAAAAGAAACAAATACACTGCCGGTGGTTTACATCTCGAGAAAAGAGACTTTTTGTGCGAGTCATCGTTTACACAGTGCGAAACTGAGCGACGATGAAAATCGACTAATATTTGGGAAGTGCAATAACAAGAACGGCCACGGGCATAATTATACTGTGAAGGTGACAGTTTATGGACCAGTGAATCCCTTAAATGGCATGGTGATGAACTTGACGGACTTGAAAGCGCACATGGGTAGTGTTTTGGAACCTCTGGATCATAAAAATCTAGACTTGGACGTTCCTTACTTCAAAGATGTGTGTTCAACAGCTGAAAATATCGCTGTGTACATTTGGAATAGTTTGTCGACACGTTTGCCCAAGAGTACCTTGTTCGAAGTGAAAATTGACGAAACTGGCAAGAATTCTGCTCGTTACAGGGGTGAAATGAGCGCCCAATGTCCAGGTTGATTTATTATAAGCGTAAGGATGTTTGTCAGCGTTAAAAATAGGTGAAGACTATTCAAATCGTTATTGTTTTTTTTTTTGTTTTCAAGGGTAATCAGAACTAAATACCATCTTTTGAAATGCGTCAGCATCTTAAGATATTACTATTGCTATCAGTAGTAGATATTTCTACCCATTCTACCTATAACTATCACAGCGATTCGATCAAAAGATTTCACTTTCGTTTTGATAAAATTTTTTAAAACAACTTAGATATTACACGTGCTCTTATCGGTCGATGTACATCGATTGTTGTGTTATTTTAATATCATGGAAATATGCTGGTGACGTTTCAGATTGGTAGATAATTTTGAGAGAGACTTTCAAAAAGCAATGAAGGACTTAAAAGCTATTTTTCATGGCCTCATCTGTACACCTGGGGATCGAGAAAATTTAGGAAAGGTTATGCATGCTAATGTCGATTAGGTATGTGTTTACATGACTTGGTTAAATTCTCTCAACTTACTCAGATAATCCCATGCAAATATGAAAAAGTTCCTCTTTTGCTTAAATGTTATTTAAATTTTGAAAATACGGAATTTTGTTTGGTAGTACTAATCCCTCTAAATAAGAGAAGTTCAGAAATTTCTAATAGTCACTTATTTAAACATCAGGTTGGCATAAGATTTTAAAACATCAATTAAAAAGTTACATTAAATCTTTCTAGAAAGAAAGGAAAGACTATGTTAAAAGTAACACAGTACGTGTATGTGGGGATAATGATACTTACTGAAAATTTCAACTCAGTGTATTAGAAAATGTGAAACCTGATTTGCATAATTTGTGTGCAACTTACTAAACTGGGGATGTATTATGCCTTGTCTCCTCAGAATTGGTATTATTTGGTATTTCTCAGATTTGCAATGAAACACGAGCAAAGAAGTGAATGTCTGAAATTTTATCATTACTGGCCTAAGAGAATGTTCATTATGATGAATTGGTTAAGTTAATAATTAAAAGGTTTAAAGTACTAAGGATGCTGTGACCTTAAAGTTTCCGAGTTGCACTCTGAGCCAAGTGGCCCCGGCTTGATACATATATCTTATTAACCAAGGGTGAGGGCCGTACTGGGAGAATATCAGCTCGAGGTCTTGACAGTACGGACCTGAATGCAGTAAGGTCCGTACAAAAAAGACCGAGGGCCAATATTCTTCCAGTACGGTCCCGAGCAAGCTTGGTTAATAAGAGGTTTATTATACGACTGAAGTTCAAAGGGACACAAGTGCCTGGTCCAATACTGAGAGAATATTGACCGGCAATAGAGCATTTTGATTGGTTGATTTTAGTTATTGGCCCTCTCACTGCCTGAGTTGTGTAATAACTACCAGGTTATTGTCTGTTGTGTTTTTGGTGTGAGATACTTTAATCTCATAGTTCCCATCTTCTTTTTCTTTTCTCCAACCAAGTATTTATAGCTAATTGTGAACCTTTGTGAATCCTGAGAGAATTTTAGGGAATAATCTGTGATGAGCTAGCTTCTCACCTGGTAGGGGAGGGAGGGGGGTTAGGATAGTACTTATTAGCTGATTCATGTCACAGAAACCAGGTTAGCTTCAGTGAAGTAGGATTCTCGGCTTGAGTACACACTTGAACACTTTCTGCCTTACCAACAGTATGCATATTCTCTGAACTGTTCCGCATACATTTCCCAAGGTGCGGACAGGAAGAATTTGTCAAACAATTAAGAGCTTCCTTAGCTGGTGATCATTTTTCTTTATTCTCCTAACCTTAGTGTTTCATTCAGGGGTGATCTTGTTAGGAGAACTTTAAAAAAACTAGTCACTCTTAGCGGTTAAGGGGTAACTCTTACCATACAGAGAAAAAGGATGGGATGCAGGGGCGTAGCTAGGATTTTTCAAAGGGGGGGTCATAGAGGCTACTCACCAGATTGTCATGTCGACCTCCATGCCGTGCATGTTTTACTTAATGTTAAAGTTTTGGGATGAGCAGTGAGAGTCTAGTAGGCAGGCTAAGATAATGTCATGGTGTTTTCACCACCTGAATATTGTAGGTTGTTTGCTCAAAAGAAGGCCTACCAAGGGGGGTCACGGGCACCCCAGGACCCCCCTGGCTATGCCCTTGGGATGTGCTGTAGCTCATTGGCTAACACTGGATATTGAATGGAAATAATATGTGTATTGCATGGGGTCTGAACTGAAATAGAGAGCAGAGGAATGAACTTAAATAATGCCTGAAATTTGGTAAAAACATGGATGGTCTGAACCCCCACAATGAACTCACCCCTGCAAATCTGCCTCAATATGAAAAAATAAGTTTTTACTATTTCTAGGAAAAACTTTTACTCAATAAAGTTAAAGCATCTTTTTTTTTATTTCAAAAGTGTGACACAGTTGTGCACAACAACATCCCAAATTTGGTGCATTTAGCACTTTTCTAAACAAAAGCAAAAAGGAAGAAAAATAAAAAAACAAAGAGCCTATTCCATAAGGTTTTGAAGTTAAGATAAATGCAAACTTGTTGACACCTAGACTTTCCTCTTTCAGATCCATGTCACTGATTCCAAGCATAGTTGGGAGAAGACTTTTAATTTCGACCATGTTTTCCCAAAGGAGGCTACAAACCCAGAGGTGGGATTGTTAAGATCTAGAACATGACAGTACTGACATTTTACCTTCAAAGATACAAATGGATCCAAAATGTTTTTAAAAAACTTGTTGAACTAAGCCATTAAAAAATAATATTTCCAGGTGTGCAGCACCATTAGCAGACCTCTGGTGAATGCTGCTTTGAATGGATTTAATGGAACCCTCATGGCATACGGACAGACGGGATCCGGTATGAATTTCACTTGTTATCTCCCAGAGGTGTGGCTGGGGGGGGGGGGAACCTCTATAGTACATGTGACTCCTTCCCTTTGTGAAATAATATTTCTCTTGGTCAACAACATAATTTCAAATCTAAAAACATTCGAAGAGTCTTTTGTATAGTATAAATCTTATCTAGTGTTCGAGTTTTCATTTGGTGGCCCCAACCACCGCGTGAATATGAGCCTGCTGATACACAAGGTAGACGTGCGGTCTAAAGTTCTTCACCTAGGGTGAGCGGAATTCGTGACCATAACCAGCCCTTCTAGAAATCTTTTTTATGCCCCGGTCCTCGTTACTGAGGTGAGATATCCAATTTTCATTGTGGCTTTATCATCAATTCAGGCAAGACCCATACACTGATGGCACCTGATGGGATAACAGCTGGTGTGATTGAGAGGTGCTTTAAACGAATCACAAAGGATGATTACCATGATTACAAGGTGACAGCAGTATTGATAAGGTCACGTGGTAACTTTATAAGCCAGAGTGACCCAATGGACCAATGAGATATCGAAGACAATTAACGCGACTTGCGCAAAAGCGTGGGAAACTCCTTAGCGCGGGAATCATAGCGCGGGAATCATAGCGCGGGAAACAAAGCGCGGGAAACAAAGCGCGGGAAACAAAGCGCGGGAAACACAGCATGGAAAGCATAGCTCGGGAAACAATAACATTTTTTTATTAAAAACTGGATCATTGGATAATGCAATTCAAGACTTTTTATTGGCTTAGCCATTATGGTATATCAGCCAATATACCATAATCTACAAATATGGTAAGCGTACGCGTCAGCTTAAAATCAAAAGGGAGCTAAAAAATCCAGTTTCTTCTTACAAAATAATAATTTCTTGGGGGCGTTTTTAATAAAACAATTATTCCACTCGCGCTTGTTGGATATGAGATGATTCTAGCCAACTCGGCGCTACGCGCCTCGTTGGCTATCTATCATCTCATATCCAACGCGCGCTCGTGGAATAATTGTTAATTAAACAATAATTTGATAAGCCAGAGTGACCCAATGCAATGGACTAGTGTGATAACGCGACCCGAGCTAACCCCGGGAAACACATTAGACCCATTAGTCGTGATCGGTCTAAAGTCAGATAAATTTACACAAGTAACGAAAGTTGATTTCAGAATGCAGCCTAAAGCAAAAAGCTTCCAACAACATTCAGTTGACAACAGTTTGCCCCAGTGTTGGTTCGTTGCTCTAGACAATGAAAAGAGGTGCACTTGCTTAAATCAACAATGTCGATGTTACTTTGCAGGTAACAATGTCATACTTGCAAATTTACCAAGAGAAAATCTACGACCTCCTAAACTCAACGAACAAAGTCGAACTTAGCCTGAGAGAACATCCAGTCAAAGGTTTGTGGACATACATATCAAAGAAGATACACCTTGCATGTTTCATCGCACACCCGTCTCCCTAGAATAGCCCCAATAGACTTTGAAAAGAAATTTGCGATTGAAGAGCATCGGATTTTAAGCGGAACGTTTCGAATTTTGTGTTTTTAATCCTCAGGTGTTTATGTCGAGAACCTTACCGAGTTTGTGGTACGAAGCCCCTCAGAAGTATTGCATCTGTTAGCTGTGGGAAAGAAGAGACTTATATTTGCTGAAACTAAGATGAACAGAAACTCAAGCAGGTACCACTCACCTTGATGTCCATTCCTCCGTCGAGTCACAAGAGTCAATAGATGTATCTTTTGATCTGGTTATCAACTCGTACACAAAATTTTTCAAAAGTGTACAATTTAAAGTTTAAAAATTTCTTCAAGTCGAAAGGTTTTATTTCAGTCCAAGTTGAGTGATTTTACAGAGCCGTCAATGATAAAATAAAGCGACTGCCCTTGGTCTTTATAGACCTGTAAGTGGTTTGTGGACATACATATCAAAAAAGATACACTTTGCATGTTTGCATGGGGCTTACCATTAGGCATGAGTTTGCCGACGAAGGGCTAACGCTCGAAACGTCAGCTTTTGTAATCGTTATGGTGGCCAATTTACCACTTCAACTTTGTTGATATATCCAAATTATTTCGTTACTCCCACCGACGCAGCCCCAAACAGTTTCTTTCGAAACTATCAGCCTTTATTCATGGTAGATTTAGGTATGAGCTTTAATGGCTTTGAAAGATAGCATAGGGCAGAAGCTTTTTTGTATATCTACTTAATTTGTTCTACATTAGTGGTATCACTAGTCGGTTTAAGATGACGACACCTCGCATGAGTTCCAAAAGAGGTTTCTTTCTGCTCTCAGGTCCCACTCTGTTTGTCAGTTGACGATTGAAAGGACTCTCAACAAGAACAAGATGAACGCAGAGGGAATTGCTAAACATGGTAAGATTGAATTCTCATCCATGTACGATAAGACAAAGATGATGGGATCACTACTTTAAGACCTGTAATCACCAATGCAGCTTTTTTTTGACTAATCATAATTAATGAGTCCAAGAGACTGTTCAAGAAAGAACTCGTTTTGGTTTATATTTAAAGCTTTGCGTACATCGAAGTATGGATGTAGGTGGAAAGTTGAGAGATTTCCTCTCAGCTTTGCCTCGAGAAGCTCTTAGACTTCTCAAGCACTGTCCAAACGTACCGCGTGCATCCAAACCTCGATATAAAAACCCTATGCATGAACCAATTTTAGAGAACACAACGAAGGCGTAAGGTTTTACACTAGTTAGAAAGTATACAAAATCATGGTAGTCGAACAAAACGAAAGCGCTATGCCACTCTCAAGGCTATATTGAAAATAAATGATATACAAGCAATTGAAAAAAAAACATGTTTTTTTTAGGCGCGAACGGACGAGATTCTCGGGATGGTCTGGTACCGAGTAAGACTAGCAGTGATCATGAGGTTTGTAATTGACCGAAAGTAATAATGATTCTTGGTCCACATTTCATGGTTATTTGAATGGAACGCATTTTGCTTTATTATCTGTTTTTAAACAGGATTCAGGAGAAGATTTAGATGCTGGGGCGAGCGAAGCGGTAGGACTGTTAACTTGAATTAATATCTGCATAGAAGAAAATGTAAGTGATTTAACTTGTAACGCCGCCGGAAATTTCTATTGCAATGACTTTAGTCACGATAGAAAAATTACCAGAATCGTGTACCTGATAGTTAGTTCTAGAATTAATTTTACACAACATATCCATGAGAACATGTAATATTTTGCAATTTTTTTTCTTCTTTTTGCAAGCATAACTCCTACAGATTCTTTACTAAAATCAGAATTTTGTAATTTGTTCAGAATGATAACGAAGAAGACGAGTCGCTCGCCAAAATGGTGGCCTTTGATGACGATGTGCTTATTAGAGGACGAATATATTTGTATGTACACTACAGTACCGCAATGTAACATTTGACTTATATAGTACTAATTACTAAGTGGAAGAATAACTTGAACTGACACATCTCTGTGAAAATCGCATTGGTTCTTCTCACGTCACTCTGTGACTCCCGCTATTTTCTCCAACAATCAAGACCTGAAACCAGTAAAGACTTTGTCATTCCCATTGTAGAATAAATGGTGGACTTGATCTGTTAAATCCGATAACGTGTTTCAATCTGTACAATGTGACTTGTATGATCTGACTCGTACACCCGACTCGAAATTATTACACCTGGTTTGAAAGATTTGTAGATTGGACGGAAAACGTGACAAAAAACGAAACGCCAACAACAGACCAAAACATATGGTATATGCCATAATATGCACGCGCAATCTAAACCCATTACCTCGCGGGTAGGAAAAAAGCCAGATGTGACGTATTACAACCAAAACGCATTTCCCCGCGTTTTTGGCAGTTTTCTTTAGGTTCTTAGTGTCTCTTTCTGGTATCTATGATTCATTTCTTTTGGCTTTGATTGGCTATCACGATAACCTCTTACCACACTGAATAAAAAAGCACTCCATATTGCTTATTGAGTCAATAACACATTGTTGCGCGTTTAGGTGCGACTTAGCCGGTAGTGAGCGACTCAAGAAAACCCAGGCAGAGGGAGAAAGACTTAGTGAAGCTCAACATATTAACTTGTCTCTACTTGAGTTAGGGTGAGGATTTCCTTGTTTATTTAGCTCATTAATTCAGTGTAAGAACTTTCCATGTAAGCGTGTTAGCCAAAGTCGTTTTAGCCCGCGAGTTTGATCAGAGGTGTTGCTTTACAACGTTACGAGATCCATAACGATAATCAACGTGGAACTTTTGAAATGTTCGTACTTCTCTCCACTTGGCTAGGAAGATATTCGATTCTGCCCCGATAGGGAAGATCTTCCAGTGAAAAGGGAAGCAACCTTCACTCTTATTTGACCCATTCTGTTCTAAATGAGATTCTTTTATGATAAACTTAAAGCTTTAGCAGGTTTTATCCCGCCGTAATTGTTCGTAGGAATGTTATCCAGGCGTTGGCAGAAGGGAAGAAGACCCACGTTCCGTTCCGGAATTCTACTCTAACAAGGCTGCTTCAAGAAAGTTTGGGTGGAAACTGCAAAACAAGTTTAGTGGTAGGTATTAAATCAAAGGAAATGATGGAATCGTGCGACTTTAGACGAAACCGTCCGAAAATACACGGGAACCTACTTTATTAATATATGCTACTCTGACTGGGAATCACTCAAGCGTCCTTGTGTTCCGTTCTTAATGCAAGTAAGTAAGCGATGGCAGGACGGATAGACACACAAGCGCTGTCTGCAATTTCAAATGAAATTCTTTCTCGATCATGTTATGGTGTACAAATCATGGCTAAAACAAAAACACATTTTCTTTAAACCGTAAGACTGAAATGACGCGCTTGTTAAATATGCTGTTAATGATTGTGTTAGGTGTGTGTTTCTCCAACCATGGGTGATGTTAGTGAGACTAAAAGCACTTTGTTCTTTGGATCCCGAGCAATGAAGATCACAAATACTGCTTACATTAACGTTGAGGTAAGAGTCATCTTAAAAAGAACCATATGCATTGGTGTATTTTCCGTTTATACAAGTGGAAATTGCTGATTAGAGCTTGCCACGTCAACTATATCATGCAATGGAACGTGGTTACGAATGAAGGAGAATATGTTTGTTTGGTACATACTTATATGTTCGTGCCATTTAGAAGCCCTTTAGCTTGTCTCCCTAGTTTAGTGTATTAAAGTTTCCCCTCCTAGTTTTTTTTAAATATTAAGTGACTTTTCGGCAGTCAAATCCAAAATTACAGATTTACAGATGGGGAGGAGATCGTGGGAAACTTTCTGAAGACTTGCGTTGCGTGGCTCTCTCTCGGGCAAGTTTTTCCCTGCTCAGTATCAAGCCCCGATAGACAAGCTGCTGAATGATGTATCTTCTCAGTACTTTATGACATCTCTCAATGTGTTTCCATGCTCGTCACAACAGATCTTTACTCTCTAGAGACGTAACGTAACGTCATTCTCTATTTTTACTTTCAATCGCGCCGATGCAGAGCTTTCTTGACTTCTTTTCCCTATTAAATTTTGTATTGTAGGTTGATTACAAGAGACTTAGTGAAGATCTTTCAAAGATTGTGGATAGGAGAGGTAAATCAGAAAACATTTATCTAACTTCAACCAGTTCCCCATTTAGAAAAATACTCCCTCCTCATTCAGCACAATTTAATTGTGTGGATTTTTAATGAGTAGTGCACGGGCACCGTGGTACACAGAGATGAGTGTTTTGTGCCCCGTGGTACAAATGAATCAATGAACCAATCATTGGCACTCAAGATGGCTCAAGGTATCGCACAATCTCTTCTCTGATTGGCTGTGTACCACAGAACCCCATATGCCACTCAAATAGGAAAAACTTTTTCGTGAGGATACTAGTAATGAATAGATAATAGTTACGAGTACTTAAAAATGTAACATTAAAGGTGAGAAAGATGATCATTTCCTGACTGAAATCGTCTTCTTTAAGAAAAAGATCTTGAAGATCTAAAGCAAACGTTTGAAACAAGGATAGAGCGACTTAAACACGAGGCGGAGAGGACTGTGACAAATGCCATGGCAGAGGCAGACAGAGTGGTGGCATCTGTGAAGAGTCTCTACGAAAATGAGGTGGACAACACTATAAATTTTTAATTTTTGGATCACTGTTGTTTTCCGAATAGTTTGAAAAACTGGAAATGCAAAGCGCAAAGCTGGACTCTTTGCAACCTCAATGTTTCGTAAACTTGTTCATAAAGCTGGAAATAACGTGAACTGATATCTAATTCAGTTTTGATGGCCTCCAGATTTTAAAGGAGCTATGTCACTTCCTAATCCATGTCAATCTTCCAATCCTTCAATCTTCCTGCTTGTTTTTGGTCACTCCCTTGTTATTTGGTGTTTGTCTACACTGGTGAGGTATTATGATAATGTTTCCTATATTTAAGGCGGATCCTTTTTTCGTTGAAGTGACATATTTATAAGCTATTGCTATGCAGCTTTAACTTTCCGTTTGAAACGTGACATACACTCGATGTGTGTTGTGCCCCTTGTTAACTATTCTGTTTCGAACGGTTTTCGAATGAATGAATGAATAAGTATGGGGCTTCGCTGCGCGCGCTGCGAACTCCGCTGGAAGGAAAAGTGACACACCTCAGCGCTATGTTTGAGAGCGGAACGAGTGAAATTGATTTCACCGGTAAAAAAAACTCAAGTTTTTGATTGTATTAAATTCACACATTTACTGATCGTCTTCTTTTCCATAGACAAGTAAAAACGAGTGATATAATATCCCGACGTTTCGGCGACTTCATGACGCCATTATCAAGGGTACAAATGAAAATAAAATTTACAAATGCGAGTTCAAATCCGTGCAAACGGATTCTATCCGTGCTAAAGTATTTGTGTAGCTACCTCCCCTATGCAAATTAGTTGTAACTCTTGAACTCGCATTTGTTAATTTTATTTTCATTTGTACCCTTGATAATGGCGTCATGAGGTCGCCGAAACGGCGGGATATTATATCGCTCGTTTTTACCTGTCTATGTATTACTAAATCTTTGTTAATACGTCTTCTTTTTCCTCTTCAGAAATCTAGTTTGGAGAGCGACATAGAAAATCTCAACTTCAGATTAGACGAAGAGAAAACGCACACAGAAAACCTTCAAGATCAGATAACAAAGGCAAAAGGCAAACTTCAAGAAGACATGTTCAAAGCAAGAAGCACCCTTCTGTCAGATATTATCTCTATGCAGCTGTTGTACGCACTCAAAGATTTGCCCCTCGACAATGATCACCACTTCTCAGAAAACGATTTGAGTCTCAGGGATTTCTGCTCTCAGTGGGCTACAACAAAATGCAAAATTCTGGAAAACGCGGACGTGCTTTTAGATCTGCTCAAAAGTTATTTGAGTTTAATGAATTCCAAAGGAGACAAGTTACTGGAGGACGGTGGAAGTCTGAAGAGTTTGGTCGGATGTGAAGAGTCGTTTAATGCCGATAAAAGATTGTTGAGTGCCTCTGAAGAAGTTTCATTGTACATGACAAATAAAACTGACGATGACAAGGTTGTTGCATCGACGGGTTGTTGCGAAATTCTTCCATGTTCTGAAACGAATACCGAAGACTTTATCCTATCGACTGAGCAAAATCTGGGAGATGGCGAAGAGAGTTCCAATATTAGAAACAAGCTGATTTCACTAAAAAAATTTATGGACGACAAAGCGCTAGCTTTTCTAACGAAAGCATTTGAGCTTGATGTAGGTAATGAAAACAGAGTAATAAACACGAGGCAAGACATTTATGGAAGGATTCAAGAAATCTTAAATCAAGAAGACACACTGCCAGGTGGGCATCTGAAAATTTCCTCAATTTTTTTTTTATAGTTTTGTTGCTTTATTTTTCCGCATCAAATATGTTGACAACCGTCGAAGCATTTTACCATGTCTGCGAAGGAAAGAGAATTTGTCGCACTATGTTTACCTGACACTATCCTCAATCCTAGGAAAATACCTTCTTACACGGTTGTCTAAATATATTTTACAATTTGAAATACATCGGCTCCATTTCCAGAAAAGACAGGCGCAATGCCTGAAATAACTGTGAATAGCCTCATCACTAAGAGCAGACCTTCTACTTGTCATGATCGATCAGAGTAGATTGCGACATACAGGGGTAGATCGAGAGGAAATTGAAGATATAAGTACAACGAAAATAGGAAATGATGCAGATTTTGTTTTCACCCAAGTAGTAATAAAATGTTTCACACGACTATTGTTATAAGAATTTATTTTTTAGATTTTAGAGAGAATGCAGCGGAACTATCACATGTTGCTGACGCACTCGGCCTTCTTGACCACTGCCACAGTCACGTGATCGTAGATAAAGCGCTACAGGGCGCCTTATTGGTTTTGGAAAACAACATTGTCATCAAGCGATGTAACGTCATCCAAAAGCAGAAAGACGTCTTGCAAGACGAAAACGAAACGTTGCGGAAACAGATCCAGATTCTACAGAAGGAAGCAGAGAAGTTAAACGGAAAACTAAACGAGACTTCGTCATCGCTATGCGATGTAATGAAAAGCAAGGAACAACTAGAAGATGATCTTTCATCTGTGTTTCAGCTTCACAACATGAGAAACATTGAGCGAAAGATACAGAAGGAAAACGATGGAAAGTTAGACATGAGCACCATTCTGCAGGAAAATGTCACAACTCTGTTAGAAAACAACACCAAACTACAAGAGACGCTCCAAGTATCGGAAAACGACAAAGAAAACTTGAAATCTGAGTTAACATCTGTTAAGGTGAGTGGTATGACTTTCTGCAAATTAATTTTTTTTTACAATATCAAGTGACCTACTAGCCTTTTAGAAACTTCCTCGAGCTCCCCTGTTTATAATCAGCGGTCATCAACTCTACCCATCCTTATGCCTTAAATCATCTTTCAGTGGTCATATTAGAAATGTACATTTAACGACAAAATGGAGGCCAGCTTAGAGTTTTCAGTAAAGATAATCTTAAGACCTCTCCAGAACAAAGAGGATAAAATTTGGTCACAGTTTTTCCCACCGTACAAATGTAATTGACGTTTGTTATTCAGCATCCTATTGAGAAATGCATTTTGTAACGAGGCACCTTTAATTAAAAAAAAGAAAAACGATGAGACACGAATGTCATCAATAATGACGTTGACATTTGATGCAAACAGAACACAATAACGCAGCTATCAAAGGTATATTGTTAGCCAACCAACAAATAAAGCATTACCGGACTTATCGACTGACAAATCCTGATACACGATGCGACATGTCTCCACTGGACTTTTGTGACATTGCAAAGACAGATTACTCAACCATCGTTGAGAGATGGAAACGAAGCTGACGTAACAGTCTGCAACGCAACTATTTGTATAACTTAACAGAGTACCACTTAAGTCATTCAATCCTTTCCGACGATAAATCGACTGTTTCCGATGCTACCGACGATCTTCCGACGAATGCAAGTCCAAGTCACTCTGAAGTCATTTGTTACGAATTCTGTGAAATCATATCCGTTACAAATGTTATATCTAACAATTCTAACGGGGTGCAAATTGCAATCACACAACGGTGACGGACTGTTATGGAAAGATTTAAGACGAAGTGTTATCAATTTGTCAGGGCTCTCCCTGGAGGCTATGGGAAAGGATGACCCTAAGGACGCGCAAAGCTTGAAGTTTCACTTTATTACGCACGCAATACGGACCCGCTTACAGGACTATTTCCGAGAGATACCGAACTCTTCAACCCTCCTCTAAAAACTTTGGAAAATCAACATCTGGATGGCTTAATTTGTCACAGAATGGGGCACGCATCAACTGTGACAGCATCTGCTTTCAAACGGAGTTCGTCCACGGCACTGCTATCTCCTCAAAGATATGGGCACAAAAAGAGCAAATGACTATTTTGAAAAGCAGCTTATTTCTGGAGTGAAATCCATCAAGGAATCTTTCAGGCTGGATCAAAAAAAGGCTGATGCATCACATGCTCCGTGCTCGAGGATAGAAACTTCAATTACAGACGCAAGGCACAAGGCTGATTCGGGCACAACCTTGTTTTGACAGGATAACTCTTTCACTTTATAAATGTCTCACACTTAAAAACATAGCTAAGGCGGGCTTATGGTGTATATTTGTATTTAAATGTTTTGACTTCATTTTATAGTTTAATGCTAGAAAGGTGTAGTTTTCTTCAAGGTTATCACTGCCGGGAAAAATAGTTTTAAACAACCTTCATAAAACATAGGAAATGAAAAGATCCAGAAACATTCTCGTATTACAGTAACATAATTATAATTGTAGTTTATTGTTAATATTTGTACGAATTATAGTTAATTTCAAGGTTATGAATAAAACTTTCTTACACGGTATGAAATGTTTATATTCCTCTGCGCATTATAATGTATTCATACTTATATCCGTAACTTATTCAGTTTCTTGGCTGGTAAATTCGTCTATAATGTTTATCCGGTGGTAAATAAAAAGATTAGGGAAAGGTACACGCATTTAAGTCGACCCAAGACAAACTGAACGTATTCACTACAACCATACAAAACCGTTTTGTATAGCTGTAGTGAATACCTTTGTCTTGGGTCGACTTACAAGTAGTATAACGAGGAGCATAAGAACTCAAAGTAAAAGGAATCTGCCTAGGCTGAATTGGCTTAAGGTTGGATGGGAGCGCAAATTTTCAGTCCAGTCACAAAGCGAAGTGAAACCAACCAATGCGATACCGGATTAACACAGCAGTCTAAAGTCTGCCCATGAGCAAACGTCGTAACGACAAGATGGCGTGCTTTCAGACTGTCAAAACCAAGTTGTCTGACACGAGAAACAAACAACCACACAAGCCAGTAAGTCAATGTGTTTCAAAAGCGCATAAATGTTTTGAAAAAGCTAAAAACAGAACTGATAAATCAACAGGATACCCGTACTTGAATAAGCTTTGGGTTCGAAAAGTCTTCTGTTTTTCTTTCTCTTAATTTTGCTTCGTTTTACTGATTTCTATGAACTTTTCAACTTTTTCACTTATTTTGCGAGACAGCGGTCGTTTCTTATGTTTTCCTTTGAAATTTTGCGCGGGAAATCGGCGCGCGGCCGGCCACAATATTGATCCACACGTGCATGCCCAATATTTTGGCAAGTTGATTTTTACCTCGCTTCTCTTTCATTCCTCGCCTTTTTCTAACCCTTCATTTATTGATCCCTAAGTTTCTTTCGATTAATTTTACTGTTCGTTTATTACACTCAGTTTTCATCCCTTCTCAAAACCAGAAAGGACCCGGAAAAAGTATAAACATGTTAAACGTTTTGTGGGCAATAATGGCCTTTGACAACGTTAGTCAATATTGCTCTTTTTTTTTTTTGCCTTGCAGGAAGAATTACAAAGACTAAAGGAGGGATATGTGCAAGATGAAAAAGGTACACAAACAGATTTAGTCGGTCAAAATGAATTCATGAAACCTCATCTGGGAGATCAGTCAAAGACAATTTCAGACCGCAATGGAATAATTCACGCGATTTTGTCGTCACTGCATGACGATCAATCCTCGTTGCTGGAAAAGGCGGCTTTTGCAGCTCAGTCAAACAACGTGGATGACGTTTCTTCTCTTAGAGCTGTTATTAATCATCGCCTTGGAGAGGAATGGTCTCTTGTTGTCCTAGAAAATGCCAGAATGAAATCAGAGCTCGATGGCATTCTGGGTAGAATCAATGAGGAGAAGAGAAATCTTGTCAGCGAGTTGGCAGATTGGAAATTCCAAGCGGCAGAGGTAAACAGTATGAAAGAAGAGTTGAATACAAAAGGCGAAGATTTTGCAGATGGATTTAAAGTCCCGATGGATGAAAACGAAAATGGTTCAAGCGACAAGCTTATCTCAAAGATAGATATTTATAATCAAAATGAAGTAATCGCCGAACTTCGAATGGATGAACAAGAAGACAAAGGGGAGCCTAGGCGGGAAGGATCGACCGCTGGAGACTATTGGGAAAGTATTGTCAAAGAAAAGTTGGGTGAACTGTCTGTGGTTCATCGAGAGACTGAGAGGCATGAAGTGATCGAATTGGATTCTTTGGAAAGCAAGTACAGTGACCCGGAGAAAGACCAAGATAATTCTAACAAGATTCGTGAAAAAGAACTTAGGGAGCTCTTAAAGAGAGAGAGGCAACTAACCACAAACATTATGCAATTGGACGAAAAGTGCTCATCTTTAGAAAAACAATTAGGTCGATCTGCCTTGGAAAACACTAAATTGAAGGAGCAATTAAGGAAGTTGAAAATAAAGATAAGTGACGTTGAACAGGAGAAAGCTGAAATTACCGCTCAGAAAATTGCTCTCGAAGAAAGCTCGCGAGAACTACAACAGAACGCCAAGCGCGAGATTGCCGTGGAAAAGGAACGGACATTGACTCTTGAGAAGCAATTACAAGCAAAAACGCAAGAATTCGGGGAAGGAAAAGCGTTATTGAAGCTGAAAGATGCTCGGGTGAGTGAAGTGGAGGCAGAACTCTTGGAAACGAAAGCATATTATAAAAAGCTGCTGCAGGAAAACTCACACGAGTACGAGGTGGATCAACAGAACATGATGAAAGAGATCAACAGTCTAAGATGTTTGCAAGGACTGCCAACATTAAAAAAAGACAGCGTGCAATCAAAGCAAGAGGTTAAGGGTGGCTTAATGAATGGAGAAAATCAAGCAGAGAACAAGAAAGACAACAAACTTAATTCCGAGCTTACGCGCGCCAAAGAACAACTCGTGCGCCTTAAAGCAGAGCTCACACTTTCTAACATGCAAACACGAAATCTTGGTTCTCAGTTATCGTCACTGCGCGAAGATAGTACGAAACTGGAGGCGGAGCTTTCGACGGTGCGAGTTTCTCCGAGGAATTCCCGACAACGAAGAGCTTCGTTCAGTTTTTACGAAGAGACAGTGCGACTGGAGATGGAGCTGGCGGAAGCTAAGGAGAAGATCATCGACTTGCAGGAAAAACTGTTGATCATTTACAAGGAGAAATTTGCTCTGGAAGAGAAGATTGTTAGTTTGGAAGGGCAAAGAAACGTCCATTTGGAAAATGGCGCAAAGCTTTATTCAGCCAACGATGACCACGAACCATTCTGTGACCTAGAGAAAACAAAAGTGCTGAAGAGTAAGATTGGCCTATTGGAGGCTGAGAAAGAACAGCTTAAAAGAGAACTTGACAATACAAACGCTGATAAAACTCGATTAGAGAGTATTGAACACTGCGTACAGCAGCTAGTAAGCCTTGAGGACGAACATTTGAGAGTGAAAGACAGATTGAAAAAATGGGCACAAAACTCTACAGACGAACAGCAGTTAAACGAGACCAGAAAAACTGTAAACAAATTTCCAGAAAACAGCTACTTCAATGAATTAAGAGTCCTATCAGGAGAAAATCTCGTTCTTCAAGAAGAAGTCAGTGGTTTGAGAGAGACAATCGCTCAACTGGAAAGCGATTTGGCTGCGTTGAAGTTAAAGCTTTCCATCGCAGATGCTGCACAGGACGATTCTTTGGACAAGAAAACTGTTGCAACACTACTCGTGTCAGTTAAACAAGAACGGGCCGAGTTACAGAAGGCTTTGAATGATGCGCTCATCGAGAAAGATGATTTAGATGAGGAATTGTCCGAAATAAAGGTGAAGTATGCAAAACTTCAGAGAGAATTTGCAATGACAAGCATTGTAAAGGATGACTTGGAGCTTGAGGTTCTTTCTTTAAAGAAAGCTAGCTTAGCTCGAGGACTTTCTAACCTGACGCAGAGTAGCGAGGATTGTAAAAGCGAAATGTCAGATTCGTCTGTGGATGACAAACTGATAGATCGCAGCGATGAAAACGGAGTCGGAGACTCCATGGATAAAAAGATAGCATCGCCAGGCGGTGGAAGAAAGAGAGCCCCTGCGCTGAACAGTCGCAAAACGGTGATCACAAAGAATCTCAAAGCTGAGAGAGACTCGTTTTCCTCAGGACGGAGCACATCAAGTTCATCTTCGAAGGTAAATGTCGTCACATTTTTTCAACTTTTCGCTTCATCAAACAGAACGCGGGTCAAAGAGTTCATACTGTAAACTAGGAACCTCACTTTTCCTCCACGGATTTATGACCCGCGTGCTTCGCCCAAGCCACTGATCAGAACCGAAAAAATATCGCAAAACATGACGAATAAAGAATACACGGTACTTACAATGTAATAACACCAAGTTTTCTCCCGCGTTGTATAGCTTAGAGATTGAGAGATAACCATGCTAAACCGCAAGCTGTTTAAAGAAAAGCATCCTTGAGGATTTAACTCACAAATCAAACATTACTCGCAAATGTGAATCTTTCTGTTTGAATCCTGACTTTGACAGAATGAAAAGAAGACTCTCTCACAGAGGCCAAACAGTCTACAAAGCGTGCCATTACCGCCGAAGAAGTCAGTAGAAAGGCGTAAGTTGTTGTTAAATTTGAAAAACAATTCAATCCACAGATGGTCAGGGTCATTCAAAGTTTTCTGCACACTAATTGAAAGTTCTTAATTTCTGTGCTTCATGCCGAATGATCACGAAGCGCGCATCCGTTTACAGATCCTTTGGAGGCGAATGTGTATGCAGAATGCGGAGCAGTAACAAAAAGCGTGCACTCACATCCATAGCCACGCCTCGGTTGTTTGAAGATTAGATAACGCTATTCACTGGATAAATCTCGATCAGGAGCATAGCGAAGTACCTTTTCAAACCGGATCTACGAATTCGAGCAGTGAACTCGTAGCCTGGTGGAATAATAGGGGGAAATAGGAAGGGATGAAAAAAAAACGTTCATGTGCGCAAAGAAAAGAGAAACACATACGCACACGTAATGTCCTTGAAATATTTCGAGCTTTTAGTCACGTCAGTTGATTATCTTATTCCAAGTGACTTTCAATGTACTGTTTAAACAACAACAAACATATGAAACATATGTGTGAACTGCGGTTATGAGACGTATATGAGAAGGATCGACGTATATGCGAAGGATCGTTCTCATATACAAATGTACTGTTTGCTGCTTTTTAGGGGCGAAGTCATCAGAATCAGGTGGAGAGAAACTAAGCAGTAGAACACCGAGGTAATACTACAGATCAAGCTTGGTCTTGCCAGTTTAACGCCTTTAAACTGAATTTCTCCTCAACGATACTCTATCTGACGAAAGAGAAAATATGGCAGCTGCGTATTCTCGACAAATTTCCTGTACACGCACACTTCTTTGGTTAACTCAATCGTAACTCAGTTATAACCCAGCTTCATTCTAAGAGCGGTAAGGTGTCAGCGGTAAGGTGTCAGCGGTTAGGTGTCAGCGGTAAGGTGTCAGCGGTAAGGTGTCAGAAATCTGCTACAATGTCGGGGGTCAGTTAACAATTGATTGATAATTCTCTACGGAGTTACAACTGTACAATTTTTTTGCTAGATTTATGCCAGGTAAATGCCATAAATTCGCAGTAGTTAGGTTCAAGATTTAGCCTTCATACCCACTGAATAAGTTGCACTTTCACACTGACAGGTCAATCACAGATGACCAGTCAACGGATGACAACCCCCAGCACCTTGCAATTTGCTATGACCTAATAAGGATTGATGACGCAGTTAGTGAGGCATGCGCACGGCACGTTAACACTGACTGTATTAACAGCGGGCTCTTACGAAAAACGCCCGAGGGACAACGACTTAATCCAGAGGGTATGGAACACGACAACGAAACATGCTTCGACACAGACAATACTGAGCATGTTGATAAAAAAGACAGCAGCGACAATTTCCTGGATGACACTGTTGAGATTGGCGCACACCAGGGTGCCACTGAGGGTATTTCTGAGACAGACTTTTCTCTATCACAGTCGACTGAAGTGCTTGTAAAGACCACGTGGTCTCTGAAAAACTTATTTCGGTGGCAGAAGTCAGCACCTATACCCGATCACAAAATTGACGCTCTTACACAGTAGAAAAACTCGAACCAATCCTTTTAAAACAAATGCTATTAGGGACCAGTGGGTGGGGAGATAATGTGGCTTTCAGGGGGGAACAGAGGGGGGAACAGTTGTCATCAATAGAGTAGGCACTTAAGAAACCACGACGGCGACGGCAACGAGGACGTGGAAAAACAAGAGATCCAATTGCGTC